TTTTTTTTTTTTATTTTTTTTTTTTTTTATTATTTGAATTAAAAAATTATATATATAAAGTAAATTATTGTGAAAATTACTATTATTTATTAAGATAATATATTAATGTAACATCAAAATAGAATTATTACTGATTTAATTGATTTCTGTTGTATAAAAAAATGATATTTTATTTTTATAGAAATTTTCAAAATAAAAAATGATAATTTAAGTAATAAAAAATATATAATTTGCTATAATAAATCAAAGCATTATAATATTGCCAATATACTGCTATAATAAAAATGGATTGACTGTAAAAAAATATAATAAAACTGGCTTTGTTATATAATTAAAGAAAATTGTACAAAATACTAAAATTGTAATATAACCTATTAGAATAAAAAATGATTAATCAATTGTAATATTTCAACTTCACCTATTAATTTGATATATTTTTCTGCATTTTATTGTTAAAACAAATCATATCCACAGTTTTTAAGCTTTTTAATCTTACATTAACTAAAAATTATACAGAAATTATTAAATTATATATATATATTTAGAAAGAATACTATATAGATGAAACTTTCAAAATCATGTAATATTGTATAATGTAAATATAAGGGATATGCATTTATATATAATGTATTTATAAAAGTTGGCTGCTGTATTGGTTTTTATAAATTTATTAATACTTTATTTAATATAACAACTGTAACTTATATAAGAATAAAATCCACTTATATATAAATTTTATTTTATTTTTTTTTTTTTAATATATATATACCTTTCTTTAATGATAAATTCATATATTATACAATAATTGTATTTGCCCATCCAGCTAGCAGATATATACATTAAAATTATATATTAATTTTATTTTAAAATTATAACAAATAATATTACAGAATAAAAAAATGTAATATATAAAATACATATGAAATAAGTAACTAAAATGAATATAATTTAACAAATTTTTAGATTTTTATTTGATAAATTTCTAGTTTAATTTATTATAATCTAAAATAATATTATTAAAGTTTTGTTAAATTTATTGATAAATAAAATTGATAAAAAATTAAATATTATTTAATAAAATTAGATAATTCAAATTATCTTATTTTAACCAAAAATATACAATAGTTTTTCTATAGTTTCATTCTATATTTGCTTTAAATAAAAAATAAAATCAGGGTCTCTATATATATAGTAAATATATATCTGAATTAATAATATAATGATAATCTTCAAAAAAATAAAAATAATAAAATACCTTTCATTTATATTTGATGAGTTATGTGAATAAACGTGGTGAAATATTCATTGCCATTAATTCTTGGAATAATAATTTACATGCATATGGTATATGAATTTGTGATATCTAATTACAAAATTACAAAAAATATATATATACATATTAAAAAAATTGAAAATTAAAAAAGAAAATGAACATATAGTCACAGACCTGTGTAGTATTTTTACAAGCTTTACATTCAAAAGTATTTTTCTTAAGATTTGCAATGGCCATTAATCCACATATATCACATACATGGACACGATAAGCATCTGATGCATCAAACAAACGTTCCTATAGTTTAAAAAATTTTATTGAATGAAATAAATCAATTGAAAGCAGTAAAAATTAAAATTATCTTATAGAATTCATAAATTACCTTTAAGAACATGGCAGTTCCATGAGAAATCATACAGTCACGTTCCATTTCACCAAAACGTAATCCACCATCACGACTACGACCTTCAACAGGTTGACGTGTTAAAATTTGTACAGGGCCTCTTGCACGCGAGCTAAATTTATAAACGGTATGAGATTATGAATTATTAATTATTAATTATTAATTAAAGTATACATACTGAATCTTGTCATCCACCATATGTTTTAGCCGTTGATAATAAGTTGGTCCTAAAAATACTTGTGCAGCTAATTTACGTCCTGTATGTCCATTATACATTACTTCAAAACCTCTTGATTGATATCCCTGTAGTCTTAAGCTTTGAGAAATAGCTTCGACTGTCACATCCGTAAAGGGAGTTGCATCCCCTTCCTGTCCTGTTAAGGTGGAAACCTTCAAATAGATTACAAAATAATTAATAATGAAATTGACGATAAATAATTATTAATATTTATATTTCGTTACCTTTCCTAACAAACATTCAACCAAATGACCAATCGTCATACGACTTGGAATAGCATGAGGATTAATGACAAGGTCCGGTGCAATCCCTTCGGCTGTAAAAGGCATATCTTCTTGACGATATGTAATACCAATTGTTCCTTTTTGTCCATGCCTACTAGCAAACTTGTCTACAAAATATATATTAATTTATATCAAATATAAATCAAAATAATATATTAATAAAATCTATTTACCTCCCATCTGCGGTACTCTTGTACTTCTGACTCTCACTTTAACAAATTTCATTCCTTCAGCATTTGTTGTCACCATTACTTGATCAACAATACCAGTTTCTGTACTTCTCATTGGTGTAGAAGCATCTCTTTGAACATGTGTAGTCTGTCTTTGGCCAAGTTCTAAAGTCTCGTTCGAAATCGGAGTTACTTTTCCAATAATTATGTCGTCACCAGATACTCTTGTCCCGGGGGCAATTAATCCATCATCTTCCAATTTTTCATATGTCCCATGTTTAAGACGGAGAGTAGTTTCTTTTGTCGGCTTTTCAAATTCTTCAATAGTCAGCATTCCCTATAAATTGAGGGATTCATAAATAATCGTCATATTGAATAAAGTATACACCATTTTTTCTACTTACCACTTTCTTTTCTTGATCCATATAACTTCTGTAAAAAATACTCCTAAATAAACCTCTATCAATACTACTTTGATTCATAATAACAGAATCTTCTTGATTGTAACCACTATAACAAAGAATGGCAACAATAGCATTTTGACCTGCTGGTAATTCACGAAATCTTAAAAATTCCATTGCTCTTGTTGTTACTACAGGTTTTTGTGGATAATACAAAATGTTTGCTAAAGTGTCCATCCTTAATTGATAGTTTGTTACATAAATACCCATAGCTTGTTTACCCATAGCTGATTGATACGTATTACGAGGGGACTATTTTTATAAAATGGATTAAGAAAATTTGTAAAATAATAATTTCTTTTAGGTTTATACTTACTTGATTATGATCAGGGAAAGGAATAATACTGGCACAAATCCCCAAAATCATACTAGGATGAATTTCACAATGAGTCCAAGTATATATTTTTAAATTTGTATCAGTTTTTACGCGTGCTGCTATATCTCTTTCATGTGCTTTTTCTTGCTTTACTTCACCAGTTTCATGGAAAACCCTTGATGACGCTAAATCTTCTGGTGTCATACAAATCATAACAGTTTCTTCTTCTTCAGCATCAATATATTCTACAACACTATTTGAAATTAATTCTTGCCACCCAAATGATGACTTTTTCTTTTTTCGTCTTCTCCTGGATGACTGCTCTGGATTATCAATATCCTCCTCTTCCATGTCATCATCTATATTTTCATCATCATCAAACAAATCGTCATCTGATTCTTCGACTTGTCCAGCTTGACGATTTTTCTATAATTACAGATGAATTAATTCGTTACAACATGAATAAAAATACGGTAGTAATTAAATTAACCATAAACATTATTCTCACCATTTTATATACATCCAGTTTTTGAATAAGTCCTTTTGTTATTTTTAAGCGCGCACTTTCAACAATAAATAAGGGTCGGCACACTCTTCCAGCATCGGTATATATTCTTAACTCTTTCTCTCGAATATCTCTAACGACACTAACTTCAGGGCTTACGTCAACAGTTCTTCGTAAACCTTTAAGAGTATATGACAATTGTTCGGGTGAAGATGATATTCCTACCCATTTACCATTGACAAAAACTTTTGCATTGTCTCTGATATTTGCAGGATCAAATTGTTGATTCAAATTAATCATTCCATATTCTTCCAAAAAATCAATAATTGGTTTTGATGCGCTTCCAACGGAAATGTACGACATTAAAGATAAATTCTTTACGAGACCGCAAGCTTGCCCTTCAGGAGTTTCAGAAGGACATACCATACCCCAGTGAGTATTATGTAATTGACGAGGTTTTGCAATTTTTCCATCTCTTCCCATTGGAGTATTACATCTCCTCAAATGAGATAAAGTGGATGCAAATGTGTATCGATTCAACACTTGAGATACACCAGCTCGTGACTAAATTCAGTCAAAATTTCCAAAATAAATACTGTTTGATATTACATATATTGTAAATTTAATTCAAAATTTTTTACCTGCATAGCCTTTTTTTGGTCTCCCCAATTTCCCGTTGCAAGTGAATATTTTAGACCATTTGTAATTGTTTGTGCTTTAATCGCTAAATTCAAATTGAATTCACGATTACCGTCAATACACTTGATTAAAAGAAACAAAGTAATTTGAGTTAATGAAACTCTCATTCGTCAAAAATTGATTTCATAATAAGCCACACAAACCTTTCTTAGGTATGCTGATACATCCTTTGTAAGCTTTTTGAATAACATACGAAACAATGAAGCTAAAAGTGGACCTGCTAAATCCATTCTTTTTTTCCCATAATGATCTCGATCATCTAGTTCACGACGTCCAAGAGCAGCTAATAAAAGTCTATGAACCATATAACCAAGGAAGAATGCTTTTCTTTTTTCACAACCATACTCGGTTGAAACGTGTGGTAACAATTCTTTTTGAAGAATATCTTTTGCATATCTATAGAGAACGTAGAATGAATTAATAAAAAAACTAAAATTGAAGATGTAAAAAAAAAGCAATAAACATACTTTATACGTTTGTCTCTCGTTGCTCCTGTTGCAGTACCTCTACGGCCTATCCAATCAGCCGCCACCTATTTAAATGAAATTATATAAAAAGACAAATTCATATGAAACGAAATACATAATTAATATATTAAGTTTTATTAGCTACCTCCATACTTTGGACCGCAAATGCTTCTTCTATACATGGTTTTAGTGCTTCTAACATTTGAGTATCACTATGATCATAACAAACATATTGCAGAAAATCTTGATCGGAAACAGCGCCAAGTGCTCGAAAAGCAATAACTACAGGTACATCTTTTTTAATATAAGGCATAGTTGCTTGTATAGATTGTCCAGTAGCCTAACAAGAAAAAATGCTCAATATCAAAGAAATAATAAACCTTACATATAGAAAAGTTCATGATGAATAAATACTTACACCTTTCTCAGCCGTTTTTGCTAAAAGCTTAATCATTAATGAACTTATTAATTTGGATCCCTTTTCTATAGCACTTTTAATTTCAGCTGTGAATGAATAAGGTGAAGGCGGTGATTTTGCAAAAACATAAACAGTGTTTGATGCCATTCTTTCTTGTGCAATCAACACTTTTTCAGAACCATTTATAATAAAGTAACCACCCTGTTGAATTTGGATAAGGAAATAGACTTATTAAATGAAGATATTGAAAGAAAGATTCATAATATAAATAAATATAACTTCTGATAAACCTGATCATAAGGACATTCATTCAAAGCATAAAGACTCTTGTCATCTAAACCATGTAACACACAAAATGTTGATTTTAACATAACTGGAATCTTTAAATCATCAAAGAATTAAATTAATATAATTCTTTAAAGAAAATTATTGAATAATAAAATATAGAATCTACCTTTCCTACAAACACTTTATCATATGATGATTCTTCAGGGTCATATTTTAAATCATCTTCATCAAACATTTCATTTAATGTTGCTTTTCCTCTGTTTTCCGGCGCTCTAGGATCTGCTATCATTGTCTCTTCTTTCATGTTAACATAAAGAGGAGCAGCATATCTATATGATAAATTTGTTTAGATAATATATATATATATGTATGTATGTACGTATGTATTGATTTGATAACACATACGTTAAATTCCTAAGGCGTGCTTCTTGCGGAAACATCGCTTGAACACTACCATCAGCTTCAGTCATTGTAGGTTTTGATAAGTATACTTGTCCAAATCGGATATAATATCGTTTCTAGGAAAATGAAATATAACATTGATACCTTATTTATATTCTCAGAAGATTCAATATTTCAAAGATCAAATGATAACATGCACAAAAACATACTGCCTTATCACCTTCCCCTCCCTGGTTTCCCGCAACTGTTTGCAACACAAGATTCTTATTTTCATCAACAATTTCTTGCATAGTATTTTGTACAAACTCGTCAAATGAATCAAGTTGTTGTCTTACAAGGCCTTTGTCATGAAAAAATGAAGATATGACCGTCCAACAATCCTCTTGATTTATATCAGGTTCCAATTCAGAATCAGCCTGATAAACTTCTAAATTGATATAATGAACCATTATTTTACAGTGTTCAAACAAAATGAAATAATTTTTATAATATATTGGGTGGGTGGACGATATATGACATCCAAGAGGCGAAAAATGAAAATTTATTGATTTAAAATTTAAAGATTTTTGTCTACTAAATTTTACAAATTAAGATCTATACTAATAATTTAATTAATAAAAGAGCCAGTGTGCACTAATCACGACATTTAAGTCTAAAGATCTATCAACGTTACTAATAGCGAAATAAAAAAAAAAATTTGAAATTCAATCTACCTTCTCCTTCAAAGCTTTCATACTGCATTTGTTCCACATTTTCAAAATCACTCTGATCAAGCATATTAATGTTATATGAATAATTGTCTTCCATAGTGCTTAAAGAAGGGAAAGTAGATAGACAAAATACAAAAATTAAAAAAAAAAAATCAATAGATATGATAAATATAAATAAAATTCGACAGATAGTTACTCTTCAATATTGACATCACATGATCCAGAATCTTAAACCAATAATAAGTTTTTGGGTCATTTACTGAGATTCGTCAGTATGATTGTCGACTTTTCGTTTAACAATTTAAAAAGATGAACTTTTTATGTTCTCTAACAAAATTATTTTCAATTCAATCACGTGTAACATCCAGATATTTTTCACAAAGTTACTTTACTCCTCCTACTTTGATAAAGCCTAATTCTAAATCGGTTTCTCAAATTTCTCATAAAAATTCATCAAAAATTCCAAATGGTTTTTTTAAAATTACTTTACGACGCTCTACAATTGGTTTACCTTTAAAACTTCGAAGAGTTGTACGAGCTCTAGGTTTACGTCGTTTACAACAAACTGTCTATCACTCTCAAACTGCTTATATTGCCGGTATGATACTCAAAGTAAAAGAAATTTTACAAGTAATTAATGTTAAAAAAATTCCTGCTCCCGAAGAAAGAAAAAAAAGGGCCAAAAAAGGTTATGTTATCATTAAAAAGCATAACTCTAATTTATAACTAAGATGATGACTAATAGCATGGTGAATAAATAAAAACAATTTTAATTTTAGTGAAAGATGAACAAATAAAATTGTAGTTTATAAAATTTAACAAAATAACGAAATTTAAATTAATTGGTTATATGGGTAATTCAAACGTAACGTCTATCTTTGCCTGACGCGCAAGTTGAACAATTTTTGATAATTGTACGGATTTAGAAGCAGCATCATCAAGATCATCAATTGAAATAATACGTAAACCTGACTCTGCAATAAGTTTCTTTGCAGCATCGACTTCAGTACCTTGTAATCGGACAACAACTGGCAATGTTAACTGTAACTGCGTGGTAGCCTGAATTATACCTTGAGCAATAATATCACAGCGCATAATACCTCCAAAAATATTTACTAAAATTGACGTAACTTGTGGATCGGACGATATGATTTTGAATGCTTCGGTAACTTGTTCAGCTGTTGCTCCTCCGCCAACATCCAAAAAATTAGCAGGTTCTCCACCATTAAGTTTAATTATATCCATTGTAGCCATAGCTAACCCTGCTCCGTTTACTTAATTTATTCATCAAATTTTTAAGTATATAATTATTAAAGGGTCGAAAAGACTGCATTCAATGATAATAGCCTACCTAAACAACCAATTTGTCCATCTAACCCAATATAATTCAAATTATATTTGGCTGCTTGAACTTCACGTTGATCTTCTTGAGATGTATCACGTAAGGCAAATATATCCTTTTGACGGAAATCAGCATTATCGTCAAAGTTAAGTTTTGCATCCATACAAAGAACTAATTTACATATAAATTATTTAAATTAAATTATATTAAGTGAGATTGTCTAAAATATTTACCTTCGTGATCAGCAGATTCCGCCATAGGATTAATTTCAACCTGTGTACAGTCTTTATCAATAAATAGCTGATAAAGTCTTTGTATCATATCAGTTGCCTAAACAAAAAAAAAAAGAGAGAAATCAAGATTTTGACATATTTGATAATAAGAATTCAATAACAATATACTAACTTCTTCAACAACTTTTGGAGAAAATCCCAATTTTTCTACTATATTCTTAGCATCTTCCCTTTTTAAACCCACATCGATATCGACTGGTAATGTTATAATAGCATCAGGATTTTCCGCAGCCACGCTTTCAATATCGACACCACCTTGAGAAGAAGCTACAATAACAGGTCCTTGGGATTTTCTATCTTGTAAAATGGCAAAATAAAATTCACGACGAACGAATTTACGTTCAACGATAAAGACCTATAATATAGAAAGAAAAAATATATATATATATTAAAGAATAATAATTTACAACACACGGAAAGTATATTCAAACAAGACTGGTTCCTTTACCGCATTACAAATTTTTCCAGCCGCACCAGTTTGTTTTGTTATAAGTTTATAACCAAGCATTTGTTCAGAGAACATTCTAGACTCGGCGGGACTAAGAGAAAAATAAGTTTTTAATTAAATAGTGAAATACGATTAATTAATATATATAAATAATAATTTAAATAACAACTTACGAAAAGACCGCTCTGACTCCTCCCTTTAGACCACTTGTAAAAGTACCTTTTCCACGACCACCTGCAAGTACTTGAGCCTTGATAACCGCGTCCTCGGTACCTAAACGTCAATTCATAAAAAAAGAGAAATGTTATTATCCATTAGTATTTTAATTCGATCGATTTGAAAAAATTTCGTTCTTGAAAATTAAAACTTAGAGACGACTAAACAATTGATAAAAAAAATAGCCCTAAATAAAATTCAAGTAACATATTATTAGTTATCACATACCTAATTTTTGTGCAACCTCATAAGCTTCCTGGGGACTCCTGGCGACCCCACCTTTCGGAGTTTTTACACCATATTTATTTAAGAGCTCCATTGACAAATATTCATGTATTGCAAGACCGCGTTTTTGTTGCCCTTTGGCGAGCTAGGGAAACATTATAATTAATACTTTTCAGCGGAACTTACCCATAACATTAAAGTAATTATGATACCATTGAAGCTCGACCGGCAAAACCTTTGGCAATAGTCAATGAACGAAACATTTTTAAAAAAAAATTTACTGATGTTTGGTGTTTAGATTTTTTAACGTAGATCAAATCATTATCTATCCGATAACGAAAGTTTGGAAAGTTCAGTTAATCAGTTTATTATCCAAACCCATTAAAAAATCCGAGCGATCACTAATAAACTCGTGATTTTTGTTACACATGATCTACCGTTTAATATTTTCAGTTTTTTGTAAAACATTTTTACAAAATGCCACGAAATTCGCAATCAGGTTCACCTATACGTCCTTCTTCACTTTCTCATCATAGTGAAGTAAGAAGCTATTTACCAGAAAGAGAAAGAGATAATAATTTTAAAAGAAAAAGAGGAAATTCTCCACGTTCGTATTCGATTTCACGTTCACATTCTCGTTCACATTCTCGTTCACATTCTCGTTCACATTCTCGCTCACATTCTCGTTCGCGTTCACCAAAAAAGAAAAAATCTAAATCAAAAAGTAAACATAGAAAGCACAAAAATCATCATTCCTCATCAAAAGATGATTCACTTAGTTATAGTACGGATACTACAAATTCTATTGATATTTCAAGACATCATCATAAGTCGAAAAGTAAGAAGAAACATAAGAAACATAAAAAATTTAAGAAAAAGAAACATGAAGAAAAGGGTGAAAAAGAACATCATTTAATTCAAGAAATTAAAGAATGGCAACAAAATCTTCGAAAGAAGAAGGATCCTATACAAAGTACAAATAGTGTAATACACCAAGAGGAAGAAGAACTTGAGAAAAAACCAAAAAGACCATCTATGATGCCTCAAACACGAAAAGAATATGAAGCAGAACAATCAGTAATTAGAGAAGTTGTAGATCCTGTAGATGGTCGAGTTAGGTAAATAACATGTTTAATATTTACAATACATTCGTCCATTTTACTCATGGAATTTAATTTTATATTCCAGATTAATTAGAGGATCGGGGGAGGTAATTGAACGTATTGTATCAAAAGAAGAGCATAAAAGAATAAATAGACAAGCAACTATGGGAGACTCATTAACATATCAAAAAAATTGGATGAAATATGCAAGATAATTTGTATAACTATCTATTATAAATTATTAAATGAAAATTGGATAAACAAAGAAATTCGCTTTATTACACGAAGTTCGAACATAAATTTATTATTGATTTTAATAATATTTTCCATTTCAATTAATTTACTATGTAATTAGTCCTTGTTTGAAGTGCTCTCTAAGGAGAGAAATAAACTAATAAAATCAAAATATATGTATAGTCATGTCATTTATAATAAGTAATAATCATAATTTTGAAAAAATTGTTTAAATTTCATTATCCAACCATTTTTTCAAAGTGATGTGATGTCTGAATCTCATTTAATTGATTTTCTTCTTGATTTTTTTCTTTGAAAACGAATTTCTTTAAGGCCAATCTTTGAGAAATTTCTTTTAGATTTTCTTTATAAAGATTTGTTGCAGTTTAGATTCCTTGAGATCAATTGTCGATATTAAATCCAGTTTATTAATAATCATTCTTGAAAACTTGATAAATTGCACGTTGTTGGTTTTTATGTAATACTAAAAGATTAAAAACATACAATAACTTTGAAAAACAGTGTAACGTCTCACTTTTAAAAACGAAAAAATTTTTTTTTATTGAGAAGCAGCCAAAGATTCATTCAAAGTGGTAATTTTGTTGGAGAAGGTATTATGTGAAAAAGATGATTGTTTTGATTGTTTGAAATATTCCTGCAGAATTTAGAATGTAAATAATGGGAAGAGTTCTGATTTATGGAAGTGTAAAAATAATTATGAAGGGTATTAGTGCAATGGAACGTGAAGATAAGATCAAACCCATCCTCTATAATATGGAAAAGTATACAATAACCTTTAAGCTTAGCTCACTCAAGTTTATCAATGCATCAATTTAATAGAAGACTTTATATAAAAGGCCAAGTTTAGATCAATGAAGACTATATACATATGTTTGATTATTATTTCTACGGTGTTGTATTTATATTGGATACCACTGTACAATTGTTTAAATCAACCAAATTTTTTAATTATTATTGTCCGGAACTATTTATATTTACTGTACTGAATTATTAACCCCGTTTTTGTTTCTGTCAATAGGTGTATTCACAAATTCAAAGGATTGGACTTGCTGGTCCTTTTTGGATAATTTATTCGTGTTCATAAATAATTAGGTTGGATTACATTATTGTTAAGTAAAAAAAGGTAAGGCGTCGATTCAACCAATTTTATTTCCATAGTATTGACTTAAGTATATATATCTTTGACCCACCTATCATTTGGGAAAGATTACTTTTTTTAGAAACCCTATTTGTCACACCCTTATTTGTCAGTTGTTACTTAGGGGTTTAGGATTAGTTATGCATGAAAGCTCTAATATGATGTCCGTATATTTGAATTTTATTCCCAGATAATTTCAAAAGGTGCAACTAAACACGAAACTTTTTAGACTTTAGTATATACGAAATATATCCATTTTATATTTTTTCCGAATCCTGAATCCTAACCCGAAACTTATATATTTTAAATATTAGCCATTTATTAAAACGGGATGTTCAAATATGGGACTAATTAAGAAAAACAATGAATATGGTTTATGGTTTGCACGAAAAAAAATTCTCCCGAGTATTTTATTGATTGGTTGGTGACATACCTCCGCAGTATAGTCCGAGTTATGATTATCTTTGATTATCTAATAATTATAGATATCTACCTAGATATCTAACAAAAAAATTATTTAAAAAATAAATTCTTTTATCTGTTAACAGTTAAACAACAATGTCGAAAACTAAATACGAAAGCCCTTTAACTTCAAGATATGGAAACTCAAAAATAGTCGGATTATTTTCACCGGCTAAAAAGTTTTCTACTTGGAGAGAACTTTGGTTAAACCTGGCTATAGCAGAAAAAGAATTAGGTATAGCTGGTATAACTGATGAGTCTATTGAAGAAATGAAAGCTCATTTGGTAAAAATAACACATATACTTTGCATATATACATAAAATTTTATTATTTCATTAAATTTTCTTTTTAATATTACAATTTTCTTTTTCAATATTACAATTTTTTTTTTAAAAAAAAAATTTTGATAGGAGTTGACTCCTGAAGATTTCAAAGCAGCCGAAGAAGAGGAGGAAAAAAGACGTCATGATGTCATGGCACATGTTCATGCTTTTGGTTTAGTAGCTCCAAAAGCCGCAGGAATCATTCACTTAGGAGCAACAAGTTGTTATGTTACTGACAATGGAGATTTAATCATATTAAAACAAGGTCTTAACTTATTATTGGAAAAATTAGCAGTAGTTATTAGTAGATTTAGTAATTTTGCTAAAAAATATAAAGATTTACCTACATTGGGATTCACACATTTTCAACCTGCCCAATTAACTACTGTTGGAAAGAGAGCTACTTTATGGATACAGGTTAATAAGTAAACCATATTTATTTTTTATTTATTTAATTAATTAAATTTTAACATTTCATCATAAAAAAAAAAATATGTTTATTTATTGATCAAAATTTAAGATATTATAGGAACTTTTATGGGATCTTCGCAATTTAACTCGTACTCGTGATGATCTTGGACTCCGTGGTGTTAAAGGTACCACAGGTACACAAGCATCATTTTTGGCTTTATTTGAAGGAGATCATGATAAAGTAAGTTTTTAACTTATTTTTATTATTTTTATTGATTTGTTGTCTTATTATGATTCTTATAATTTTTTTTTTTTTAATTAGGTAGAAGCTCTAGATAAACGAGTTACAGAACTTTCTGGATTTAGTGAAGCATATCCGGTTACAGGACAAACTTATTCTCGTAAAATTGATGTTGATATCCTTAATGCTATCAGTTCTTTTGGATCAACGGCTCATAAGATTGCTACTGATCTAAGACTTTTAGCAAATCTTAAAGAAGTTGAAGAACCTTTTGAAAAAGATCAAATTGGAAGTTCTGCAATGGCTTATAAAAGAAATCCAATGCGTTGTGAAAGAGTCTGTAGTTTATCTAGACATTTAATGGTTCTTGCTCAAGATGCATTAATGACAAATAGTGTACAATGGTTTGAAAGGACATTGGATGATAGGTATATATTATTATTTCATATATTTATTTTATTATTTATTGGATGACATTAATTTTAATTATATAGCGCCAATCGTCGAATATCTCTTCCAGAAGCTTTCATGACAGCAGATATAGTATTAACTCTTTTACAAAATATTTCTGAGGGATTCGTTGTATATCCAAAAGTTATCGAACGTCACATAGCACAAGAACTTCCTTTTATGGCCACAGAAAATATTATTATGGCTATGGTTAAAAAGGGAGGTGATCGTCAACAATGTCATGAGGAAATTCGCATTCTGAGTCATGAAGCTGCAAAACAAGTTAAACAAGAAGGCAAGGAAAATGATTTAATTGATAGAATTAAGAAGACAGAATATTTCAAGCCAATTTATGATGAAGTAATTAAATTAATTAATATTTTCATGAACTTTAAATTCTTTTTAAAATGAATATTTATAATTTTTTTTTTCCAGCTTGATTCTCTCATGAGACCTACGACATTTATTGGTCGTGCTCCGCAACAAGTAGATAAATTCTTGATAGATTATGTAGAGCCAGCTTTAGAACCATACTCTGAGAAATTACAAGTTATCAAGGAAGCGGTTATAAAGGTCTAAATTATAACTCAAGAATAAGTAGAATAAGTCTAAATTTATTCTTCTGTAATAATTATAATTAAAAAAGTTAATTCAATATATACACATATATTCTGTTTAGAAGAACTATGAAATATACAATAAATTAAGTTATATTTAAGTTATATTTACTTTTAGATAGCCCTTGCTCTTGTTGTCTTTTACTGAGAAAATCTGATCTTCTTTCCAGAGTGCTCATTAATTTAGGTACTAAATACTCAGAATATATAATAAGAACGAATTCTGCTTCATTAATACCCTAAAAATCCTAAAAATATATAACTTACTAAGAATTCGCATTCTCTTAATTTCATTGACCACCGGAGCATTTTTAGCTATTACATTTTGTTGAATATCTGACTTATCTAATGGTTCGACGAGAGCATAAAGAGACTATAGTATATAGTATATTAAATATGTATGTTTAATGATATTAAGTTTATATAATAACGCGATTATTTACCTTGTAATGATCGCATTTCTCTTTGATAGCAATATATTCTTCTTGTAATTTGCGAACAGATGAACGTAATGGAGCGTATCTATTTAAAAAAAAAAGCGCGTTTCAAAATACATAATACATCTTTTGTATTAAATTTATAATAACTTTATAACAATTTTTTTTTTTTTTTACCTTTCAAATTGTTCTTCATCTATTTCATAATTTGAAACATATGGCCATTTTTCAGGGAATGATTCGATCCAACTATTATTATTTAAATAAATTAATCAATCAAGTAAAACGCGTCATAAACCGGTTTATCTATCTTTATTACCTTAAATCATCATAATTTTCTTTTATTTCAACTCTAACGCGTCCTTCTAAAGCATCTTTAAATTTTTGATCTCGAAGATATTGAAGTTGTTCAAGAATTTGACGAATTGATTGACGATTAAAGCTTTGTTTATGCTGTTTTTTATTATTCGTATTCACTATTAAAAAAAAATATATACATAATAAATTACTTTTTTTCAAAAAAAATACATATATATAATAAATTTTTTTTTAAAAAAAAATATATACATTTTGTTAAAACAGAATCAATAACGGATAATGGTATTTGATCTCTTGCTCTTTCAGCCTTAGACAACCATCTTTCTGAAGGTGTAAAATCTTGTTCAATTAATTTTATTTGTGATTCAATAAATGCTTGTTTACAATTATAATAATTTTGTTCCATTATGGTGAAGAAAGTGAAATGTGAAGAGTGACTGACTTGAAAGAGTGTGAGTGTAAAAGAAAAAAAAAAATTGACGCGAAATTTCGCGAAATCTAAAAACTATTTATAGTTGATTTGTTATGATGGAGTATCACTTGATCAGTTTATTATATTATTATTACCGTATTATTCACTATGTATTTTTTAAAATTATTTAAATATTATTTTTAACAAAAATATTATTTATTTATTAAAAAAGATTTATTTTTTTTTACGAGTACGTTGTTGAGCTTGATTATACGCTTGAACAAATTCATGATCATTTTGATGTAAATAATTATCCACCACCAATTTTTCCATCTTTTTTCTTAATTCAGATTGAGCATTTTGATCATTTTGAAAAGGATAAAAACCAGATCTTAATTGATTCTTAATTTCATCAGAAGCTATATTACATAAAATTTCAAAATTATGTAAATTAGAACGTATATCTTGAGTATTATCAGTAGGAAATAAAACTGGACCAACTTGTGAAAGAGCGATAAAAATTGTAATAAAAAGTTGTCTAAAAATTTTAATTCTTTCAAATATAATAAAATTTTGAAAAAGATAAGATAAAAATGAAGAATTTGATTGTGGATTTAAAATTAATGAAGTTTCAATACAAGCGATACCACAAAATACTATAAATCTCCAAAATCTACCAAATTGTCCTTTTCCTAATATATTTAAGATGAATAATATAAGTCCCGTTCCCAAATAAAATCCTGTGGAATAATTTCTTCCTAATAAAATATAATCCCTCTTCGTTTTACAATTAGTCCAATAATTAATATCAGGTCCAAATCTAAATAAAAAAATATATATAAATAATTAATTAATTAAATATGAATAATGATCGATATATTAGAATTACCTATCATAAGCGAATCGCTTTACTGGGTCATTAAGTGTATCATAAGCTTTACGCAATAATATAAAATTTGATTCAGCTTGTTGTTCCGAATTTCGATCAGGATGAAATACAAGTTGACTATACAAAAAAGAATAAAGGTTTTTTTTTAGATTCTTTTTTTTTTCCGAATGACAAAAGTATTATGAACAAAGTTCACTTACAGTTTCCTTAAATTTGATTTAAGTTCTTTAGAAGTAAAATCTTGATTAACACCAAGCAGATCGTAATAATTTGGCGGTATAGAATGAATCACTTCAACAATTGTATAGATTAAATATACAACAACAACAAAAATATAAATTCTTCTTTGATGTAATTTATGTTTTGGTTGGCCAGGTTTTGGTATATTTTCTCCAGCTCGATAAACAATTCTATAATATATATTTTGAATCCAATTTGTGACTAAACTTGGAAGAAAAGACCAACCAAAAAAACTTAACCAATCTGTCATTTTATTAGGTGAAACTAATAAGAATGAAAGAATGAATGAAAGGTAATATGATTTATGAAAACACTGAATAGTAAAAGTAAAACCTTTCTAAGGGAACTAAGGAAGTTAAGTTAAAGGGAATTAAAAGTAAGATCAGTTTGATCAGAATAACACGTTTAATCACGTGTTTGTGAGTAGGTCGCACCTACGTTTTGACGCAATTAAATTACCGGCAATACGGGCAATACAATAAACAAGAAATGACCATCAAAAAATCCATTCATTGTTAAAAAGACTAACCGGTAAAGCCGTAATTATATCGTTTTAGGAACGACATTGAAATATTTATATATTTATGATATCGGCATTTCCGTGTAAATTAAAGTAAGTAAATTAAGTCAGGAATCAATCACACGTGCAATGTGATAAAAGAAATGGCGTACTTTTTTTACAACCAACTTTGTCTCTATTGATGCGTACAATGTTTGTGATTAAATTATAATCTTTGCCCATAAATTAAAAAAGAAAGAAAATATATTTATCTTTCCTCTTTTTTTTTTTTTTCTTTTTCGAAAATTAAAGAAACGTGGTGTTACATTTGTAAAATGTCTTACAAAAAAAAAAAACTTTTATAAAACAACAAATAAGTTGTGTAATCTGATTATTTATTTGTATATTTTTATTTTATTTAAGTTAAAGTTTATAGAAATAAAATTTTTCTTTTTGTTAAAAGTGTATCACATTTCATCATTTTTAAACTTTAATAAATAAATTAGGAAGGTTTATTAAATAATTTTTTTATCGTTTAATTTTAAATTTATGGTTTAATTAAAAATGTAAATATTTACTCACTCTTTAAGAGAAAGAAACACAAAGAAACCAAATATTTTAAATTCTTTCTTAAGAAAATTTTTATCTCACAAATTTCACAAATTAAAAACAATCTCCTAAAACAATCTCCTATCTATGTTACTATAATAATCTCTATCATTATCCTAAAAAATCATTCTATCATAATTTCCTGGTTTCATTTTTAAACAATGAAACCTTTTTTTGATCCAATCAATTATACGATTATACAATTATTGTTTTTTTCTTTACAAACCAATAATAAATATTTGGACTTTTTTTTTTTTTTTGACATCTTAAAAAAAATCAGATGCAAAATGTAAACATTTGCGAGCGGGCCGGGCACCACCGAAATACATGAATTTCCTAAATAAATATTTTTATATATATTTATATATTTATATATAATTAATTAATTACAAAAAAAAAATGAAACAAATCTAAAATTTTTTAGTTCTAAAATTCTTGTTCGTACGAACAACAAAAAAAAAATTCTTTCTTTTCTTTGTAATTTCTTTTTGATATCAGGTTTTTTTCATTGAAATTCCACTTTTGGACTTAATGGACATTAACGGATTATATTTATTATTAAAATTTGTGATTTAAGAAAAAATTTTTTGGTCCAGATTTTCAAATCACAATTTTGGGTCTTCGAATCACAATTTCGGGTCTGTTTCACGAGATACTAGTTTATATTCATTTTAAAAAAGAATTTTTAATTAAGGAAAAAAAATATATATATATAATTTTTTTTTTTTTTTAGATCATTTTAATTAAAATATGGTAAAACACGGTAAATTATTATAAATTAAAATAGTAAACACGGTAAATTATTTATCAATTAAAAGAATTAAAAGAGATTACTATAAATCATAATAAATTAATAATTTCTATATTTCTATATTTCGTTTTTCATAATTCATTATAATAAATTATATGTAAATAATAAATATAATCATTCTTTCTAAAATAATTTCGTTATCATAAAATAATTTTAATTTCGTTATCATTAATTAAAAATAGAAAATTTCATTCTTATAAATTATATAATCAATTATAAAATAATATTATAAAAATAATAAAATAATCATTCTTTATAAAAATAATTTCGTTATTATAAATTTAATTTCATTCTTTGTAAATTAAATACATTAAATAAAAATAAAAAAAATTAATTTCATTCTTTGTAAATTATAATATTTAATATTTCATTCTCGTAAATTATAATAATATTTCATTTTTGTAAATTATAATAATATTTCATTTTCGTAAATTATAATAATTTGATTCTAACTTAATTCTTATAAATTATAATAAAAATAATTTAATTATCATAAATAAATTTCGTTCTTATAATCGTTATTATAAAAATAATTCGTTATTATAAAGTTATTATTTATTACAAAGTTATTATAAAATAATTACGTTATTATAAAGTTATTATAAAAATAATTTCGTTAAATTATAATAAAATAATTTCGTTATTATAGCCGGACCGATTTATTTTGGGAATTTTATTTTGTAATAGTTTAGTGATATTATGTATCCTTTTCTTCAATCTAGTAAAATGTGTATTAACTCTTAAAAAAAAAATATATATATTTTAAATTATAATAAAATCATTTCGTTATTTTAAATTATAATATTTCGTTATTACAAATTATAATAAAAAAAAAAAAAATAATCATTCTTAAATCAATAAACAAATAATTTGTTTTTTTCATTCATTTTTTAGAACATTAAATCGATTCAAAATTTTGAAAACTTATTGTAAAATAATAATATCATTTTAAACTCAAAATTTGAAAACTTATTGTAAAAATGATAATATCATTTTAAACCTTATTTTATATTAAAAATTGATTCAATATTTTGAAAGCTTTATTGTAAATAAACATGTAAATAAACATCAAAAAATATTTATTTAGAATATTAATTCGATTTCAAAATTTTTTTAGAATATTAATTCGATTTCAAAAAAAAAAAAATTTTAGAATATCAAATCGATTCAAAAAAAAAAAAAATATATATTTTTAAAAAAACTTTAATAATACTTTTTTTCTTTCACAAAAAAAATATTAAATATTTTAAACTTTTTTTGTATTGTTCTTTATTAGTATATAATCATCTTTAAAGAAAAAAGACCTGTTGATTTGTTTTGCCAAGATTTTTGATCAAAACCCCCAACTTTTAATTTACACCGAGTTCCGGTATTATTTTAATACATTGAATTAACTTTAAGATTTTCTTGGCAATTTTTTTCTAATTAGGCGTAAATAATTATAATAAAAAGTATATATTACAATAAAGTATAAAGAATATTGTATATTAATATATTTGTATATTTGTATATAGAGTACATTAGAGTATAATATCTGATATAGAGTACATAAAGTGTATAAAGTATAAAGTATTTCTATATAGAGTAGAGTAATACCTATTTAGAGTACATTACCTATATGGAGTACACGTTATCCACCTTTATAGAAAGTACACCTATACCATACCTATATAATAGCATATAGTATATAATAGTATATAATAGTATAATAGTATATCAATCGTTTATATCAATGATGAAATGTTTTTTTTTTATATAATCAATTTGTTTTAAGTATATAACACATATAACACTTGAAACATTTCCTTTAAACATTAATGCAGTTTTAAAAAAAAAAGTTTCCTTTCTTTAAAAAAAAGTTTTTCCATAATAAAAAAAAAAAAAACTTTTTTAATACTTTGTAAAACTAAAATATTTTTTATGCAAATAATTTAAAAATATTTTAGATATTCGATTCTCAAAAATATATTAATTTCTTTATACGCGGTAGATCCTATAAATAAATTCTAGAAAGTTTATTAGAGTAACGCACATGATTTTTTTTAAAAAAAAATTGAAGTTAAAAAAAAATTGAAGTATGTTCAATTTATGCAAATAGATGATAAAAAAATACCACGGGTTAACAAGAAAAAACAAATATTAATGCATCATCTCTATTTTGTAATCGATTAACGTAATCAATTTATTATTTCTTTTCGAAATTATCACACAATTTTCTTACTTTCCCCTTATCTTCAATCATGAAAATCTCTAACCAAATTATAGTAAAAATTACAAAGAAAGATCGATAAAGAAAAATAGATCAACAAAATTCGTTAAGTTTACCTTGATTTACTGTAAATCTTTCAATTGAAACAAGGAGCTTATTTTGACTAAAAAAAGATTACAGTAAAAAGGTTTGGCGTTACATTTATAAAAATTAAAAAAAAAAAAAAAAAATAATGAAGTCTTTTATCAGAATGAGGAATTGAAACCATTTACCCTTTAGTAGAATATAATAAAGAAAAACCCTATTACGACAATTTGTCGATCTTATATGACGTTTGTGACGTATCAATAGTGCACCCCAATATCCACTGTTATAATGACCCGAAAAATATTATGTACCTGTAGACTGTGATATAGAATAGTAATTAGGAAAAATTTCAACGAATTACATTACAAATTACCTGTGTATATAGAAGTAATAGAACAATAATTGGAAAATTTGTGTTATAAGGATATAGTAATTAGGAAAATTCTACGAATTACGATCCTTACAATGTTATATTACCTTACAATGTTATAGGATAGTAACTAGGAAAATTCTATTATCTTGCGAATGATATAGGACGAATGATATAGGACGAATTACGATTTATCTTACAAATTTATCTTTGATATAGAAGTAATAATTATAAAAAAAAAAATTCAACAAATTACAATTATCTTACGAATAGTAATTAAGAAAAAATTCAACGAATTACAATTATCTAATTCAAATTATCTAATTCACAAGTAATATTAAGTACATTTTTTTAATATATTTAAATATATTAAAACATATTAAATCATATTAAAATAAATAATTAACTGATCATAATAATATTAAAATTGATCATATTAAAAAAAAAACAATATTAAAACTTATTAAAATTATAATATAATATGTATTTAATATGTTTTTTATTTTCTTAAGTTGTTTTCTATTTAATATATTTAATATATTTAATAAATTATAATGAGACACATGACTTAATGTTGCTTTTTTTTTTTTTTATATTAAAAGAGACTAATTTTGGTAAATTTTATTTCAAATTTAGTTTCCAAATTTTATTCTTTAAATCAGATTTGCATCTAACATGCATTAAATATCATGATTGGCTTATATATTAACAAAAGATATAACAACAGAAACAAGTTAACATGTTAATGTGATATCATTTTATGCAATATTTAAAAGGCTTTTTTTTTTTTTT